GGCTCTGGGCTGATGGCTCAGAGCCTGGAGCCTGTTTCCGATTCTGTGTCTCCCTCTCTCTCTGCCCCTCCCCCGTTCATGCTCTGTCTCTCTCTGTCCCAAAAATAAATAAAAAACGTTGAAAAAAAAATTAAAAAAAAAAAAAAAAAAGAATGAAAACCAGTTTCTCATCAGGAATTGTGGAAGCCATTAGTGCCTGGCTGACTCAGTCAGTACAGCATGTAACTCTTGATCTCGAGGTTGTGAGTTCCAGCCCCATGTTGTATGTAGAGATTACTTAAAAATAAAATCTTAAAAAAAAAAAAAAAAAGGAAGAAAGAAATTATGGAGACCAGAATGCAGTGAGATGACATATATAAAATGCTGAAAGGGGTGTCTGGGTGGCTCAGTCGGCTGAGCATCCAACTCTTGCTTTCAGCTCAGGTCATGATTGCAGGGTCGTGGGATGGAGCCCCACATCAGTGTGGAGGCTGCTTGGGATTCTCCTTCCCTCTCTCCCCACCTCCATCTCTCTCTCTGTCACTCTGCCCCTCTCCCCTGCTTGCTCTCTTTCTCTCTCTAAAAATAATGCTGGGAAAATAAGGTGTGTCAACTAAAAATTCCATATCTGGCAAAACTATCCTTCAAGAACGTGTGAGAAATTAAGGTATTCCCAGATTAGTAAAAGCTGAGGGAGTTCATTGCTGGTAGACCTGCCTTATAAGAAATGCTAAAGGATGGGGCACCTGGGTGGCTCAGCTGGTTGAGCGTCTGACTTCAGCAAAGGTCATGATCTCATGGTCTGTGAGTTTGAGCCCCACGTCGGGCTCCGTGCTGACAGCACAGGCCTGGAGCCTGTTTCAGATTCTGTGTCTCCCTATCTCTCTCTGCCCCTCCCCAGCTCATGCTCTGTCTCTCTCTCTCTCTCTCTGTCAAAAATAAACATTAAAAAAAAAAAAAAAGAAATGTTAAAGGAGGGAGTCCTTCACCATGTCAGAGGTGAGGAAATGAGACTCTGAGGCTGCCCTGGGTCTCTGCATCCATACTTCAGCCATACCCCCACCCTGTTCCCTAAAGGAGTCAGAAGATTCCATCAGACTTACAGGTCTCTGGGGAGCTGCAGGATCCTCAAGGCCCCTCGCCACATACCCCGGGTCCCAGGCCCCTCGGGAGGGTCAGGCCCTAGGCAGGACATGGTGACAGTGAGCAGAGAGCAGGCCCTGTGGAGGACAGGGTAGGATGAGATCAAATGCCTAAGGGATAGGGGTTGGGGGTGACAGGTGCCCTCCTGTCCTCACCTGCCTTCATCCCCTGCAGCTTGTAAGTACAGGTCTGAGGCAGCTCTTGAGTCGGACACCTCCACCTCACTGGCATTTTCTACCACCCTGGAGGATGGGGAGACAAGCTCAACTCCTAAGCACCTCCTAAGAGGTTCTGGGGTTCTGTCAAGCCCCCCAGAACCTCTGCATGGGGAGTCCATTGGGGTCCCAAGAGCCTGTAAGAACCATCCCCAAGGTTCCAAGCTCAGTATATCCCCTGAAAGCCTCTCATCTTCATCATCTTTTTTCTCCTGTCAGCTGCCCAGTTCTGCTCAACGAGATGCTCACATCACCCAGATGGTAATGACTGAGTGGAAGAGGTGTAGATGGATAGGGTAAGAAGAGTGAGAGGGCTGGGGATACGAGCTGCAGGGAAGATGATGAGTGGGTGTGATGAGCACAACCCCAAGTGCAGAGCTTCCCTTCTGCATGGCAGTGGGGAGAAACCTCCCACGGCTGGGTTTGGGGGTTTCAGCCCTGCCTTAAGACAAGCACCGTCAGATCCCATTGGCCCCTGGAGACTTACAAGCCCAAAGGGGACACGTCTAACACCGATAGGTTCTCTCTCCCTGGAGACAGCAGGTCCTGAGTCCTTCCACTGGGGCTGAGCTGCAATCACACAAGCACAACACCAGTTACAAACAGCCTTTCCCAGACCTCGTCTCACAAGATCCTCCCGCTGGGGCTCCTTGAGTCAACGAGGGCACCCCAACATTCAGCCATTGCAGGCAGGAAATAGGAGACCTCAGAGAGGCAAGCCCACACTGGTCAGTGCAGATGAGGCTAGACTCAGTCTCTTCTGGCTGCCTGCGAGCCTCAGGCCCTTTCCACAGCACCACCATTGGTTCCCAGGGCTCCCCTCCATGCAGGGTCTCACCTGCACCAGGCTAAGGGTGCTAACCCCAGGAACAGCGCCCCTGTGGGGCAGAGTTTCCTCAAACAGCATCTGCAACAGCTAAAGTGGAGAAAGGGGTTCAGTAGGGACGGAGAAAGGATAAATCTGTCCTTCAACAGTTTCGTGACGGTGAAGTCTATGCCCGGTTCTATGCTACGTGCTTCGGACACAGGGACACAGTGTCCAAGACAGAAACAGCCCCAGCCCTCACGGTTCACAGCGAGCCAGTCAAATAAGCAGACATTTTCAATGAGACCTGCTGTTTCCTAAAACAGGGGCCTGCCTATGATGAAGTTCTGAGGCAGCTATTTTGACTTGGGGGCATTTTGACGAAGCCCTGAAAACAAAACTTTCAAGTTTATTATCGGTATTATGAAAAACTGTGAATATTAGACCTTGCTGGATATTTCATGTTTGCACACCACCCCATCTTGACCCTCACCCTATGGGCCCAATCCGCTAGGGAGGGGGAGGGAAGTTTCTCAAAGGTCTGGAGGAAACAACACCTGAGCCTCATGAGACCTATGATTGGTAGCTCCTCCAGGACTCACCTGAGGTACAAGCCGAGGTGTCTCTGTTTCCCGACCCCGAAGCAGTAGGGACACACTGTACCCTCGGGCCACCAAGCCTAGTGTGGACTGGACTCGTGCTAGCAGCTCCTGCTCAGCCTCCTGCAGGGGACACAGGCATATCCCCCAGTCACAGGTGCCCTGACCCAGCCTGCCTGAGCAATGGGCTTGGGAAACCCTTAGCACTCCAGGATCCAGACGCCTGAGGATGCCCATCCTCCTCCCGTTTCCCTACAACACTCCCTACCTGAGCAGCATCAGAGCCCAGGACTCTGTCAAAGGTGATGCATTGTTCCTGCAGGGGAAGACTGGGCTCAGCATTGTCACTCCCATCTTCCAGGGCCTCACCCGCACCCCGTCCCATTTCTACCTGAGTGTCTAGAGTCTCCGGCTGAAGCAGGCAGATGCTCTGGGGCCCCTCCAGAAGCAGTGTGGGGCAACATGTGTCCTCAGGGCCTGAGAAGGATGGACTGTATATTAACTCCCGTGCCTAAGTCCTGCCCTCAACTTTGGCCTCAGTTTCCTAACCTAGAGTACTGAGCACAGGATCAGACCCCCTGAGAGGCGGAGCGTCCTCAAAAAGCATCTGCAGCAGCTAAGGCTGTAAAATGGCCTTGGCTTCCCCTCTCCCAGGAGGCTCCCCCAGGCTGCGTTACTTCCAAGAGTGAATGTGTAAGGCCTTCTTCTCACCTGATTCTCTTCCACTCTCAACTTCTACCACCACAGTCAGCCTGGCCTGGGGGTTGTCCATGAGAGCTGGGGGCACTGAGCTGCCCTGGCCCAAACCAGCCTCTGCGCTTGCTACCTCTCCACACTCCATGGCTTCTATGCCTCTCAGATTCCCCTCAATAATTCATCTCCCTGATCTGCAGGCTCTGGGTAGGGCCTCTAAATAACAACTCATCAAAGGAGGTGATAGTCCCCTCTTTTCTGAGTGAATCAGAATGTTGCATGGGATTTTTTTTTTTTTTTTTTTTTTTTCCCCTCTTTTGAAAAGGGTCAAACACATAAACCTGCAGAGAGAAAGTATGATGAGCCTCCAAGCACCCAGCTTCGGCAATTACCAACTTATGACCAGTCTTATTTCTTCCTTTCCCCTTCCCATCCCCTATGGATTCTCTTGAAGCAAATCCTAGACACCATCTGTTTCATCTATAGCTTTTTCAGCATATATTTATAAGATAACTACCTTTTTTTAAATGACAGCTTTGTTAAGATATAGTTCATATACCATACAATTCACCCATTTAAAGTGTTTATTTCAAACATACCTTAGTATGTTTGCAGATAATGTGTAACTATCACCACACCCCATTTTAATGTTTATTTATTTCTGAGAGAGGGAGACAGAGTGTGAGCAGGGGAGGGACAGAGAGAGAGGGAGACACAAAATCTGAAGGAGGTTACAGGCTCTGAGCTGTCAGCACAGAGCCCGACATGGGCTCAAACTCACCAACTGTGAAATCATGACCTGAGCCAAAATCGGATTCGTGGGTTTGAGTTCCGCGGTGGGCTCTGTGCCCACAGTGAGGAGCCTGCTTGGGATCCTCTCTCTCCCTCTCTCTTTGTCCCCCCCACCCCCGCTCGCACATGCACTCATGCTTTCTCTCTCTCTCTCAAAATAAACATTAAAAAAATAAAATCTTAAAAAATGTTAAAATAAAAAAATGGAATCACACTGTGTGTGTTCTTTTAGTGACTGACTTCTTTTACTTAGTGTAATGTTTTCAAGGTTCATCCATGCTGTAGCATGCATCGGTACTAACCTTCCTATGACTGAATGATGTTCCACACAGAGATGAAATGACTTCTGTCAGCAAATATGCAGAGTTTGCCCAAACTTCACAACTAAGAGCACAATTTCTATAAGATTGCCTTTACTACAGACACTAGTCATAAGCTTGGGGTCCCCAGTCCTTCTTCCCTCTGACAAGTTACCTACATTTTCAGGTGTTCCCACTCTTCCTGCAGGTTCCATTCTTTGCTGGAATGACTTATAGAACTAAGGAAGGCATTATCCTTATTGTATCTGCAACAAATTTTCTGACACCAGCTGGGGTCCTATATTTCAATCCAATTTTGACACTAACTACCTGGAATTAGCAGCAGCTCCCACAAGTTAAAATACAAGGTCCTCATCAAGAACCGTAAGATCATGCCCTGAACTGAAATCAAGCATTGGACACTTAACTGACTGAGCCACCTAGGTGCCCCAGATTTGGGGTTCTGATGACTGACCACCCTTCAGGCTCAGTAATTCACTAGAATGCTCACAGAACTCAAGAAAGTGCTCTACTTATGATTACCTTTTTATTATAAAAGATACACATGAACAATCAGATGAAGAGGTACATAGGGCAAGGTCTGGAAGAGTTCTGAGCAAAGGAGCTCCTGTCCCTGTGGAGTCAGGGTGTGCCACCCTCCCAGCACATCAGTGTGTTCACCAACCAGGAAGCTCCCTGAGCCTCACTGTTCAGAGGGTTTGTTTTGTTTTGTTTTGGTTTGGTTTGGGTTTTTTAATCGAGATTTCATTGTGTAGGCATGTTTGATTAAATCATAGGCTATATGACTGAACTCAACTCCAGCCAATTACATGGCTGAATTTTCTGGTGCGCAGTTTCCTCCACCCTGAAGCTATCTAGGAATCCAGCCAGAAGTCACCTCATTAGCATGACAGAGAGATTCTTATCCTTCAAAAAAATTCCAAAGGTTTTTGGAGCTCTTCTCCTGCAACTGGAGACAAAGACCCGCTATACTCCTGAGGTGCCTGGGTGGCTCAGCTGGTTAAGGTCCATCTTCAGCTCAGGTCATGATCTCATGGTTTCTGAGTTTGAGCCCCATAGCGGGCTCTGTGCTGACAGTGCAGAGGCTGGAGCCTTTGAGTTCTGTATCTTCCTCTCTTTCTGCCCCTCCCCTGCTCACGTTCTGTCTCTCTCTCTCAAAAATGAATAAACATTAAAAAAAAAAAAAAAAAAAGGACTGGAAAAAAAAAAAAAAAAAAAAAAAAGACTGGATATATTCTTTATTATATGACCAGCCACTCAATGGTTTTTCACCAAGGATCCCTTCTAGCAAAGGATCACACCTGTTTGATTATTCACATTTAGTATAGCATTTATGGAACAGATAGAACAATAAAAACATGAATACAGTAGTCTCCCCATTCTTATTTATGGAGGATATAGTCCAAGACCCCCAGTAGATGCCTGAAACCATAAATAGTTCTGAACCCTATATATAGTGTTTTTTCCTACACGTAAATATGGTGAAGATTAATGTATAAATTAGGCACAGTAAGAGATTAACGACTACTAATAACAAAATGGAACAGTTATAACAATATGCTGTAATAAAAATCATGTGGATGTGGCAATGAATTCTTAGATATGATACCAAAAGCAAGAAAAACAAAAGAAAAAAATGAATTTAATCAAAATTAAAAACTTTCTGCATTGGGGCGCCTGGATGGCTCAGTCGGTAAAGCATCAGACTTCATCTCAGGTCATGATCTCGTGGTTCGTGAGTTCTAGCCCTGCATCAGGCTCGGGCCCTGTGCGGACAGCTCAGAGCCTGGAGCCTGCCTCAGATCCTGTCTCCCTCTCTCTCTGCCCCTCCCCTACTTGTGCTCTGTCTCTGTCTCTCTGTCACAAATAAATAAAAACATAAAAAAAAAAAAACTTTTCTGCATCAAAAAACCATTATCAAAAAGTTGAAAAGACAGCCTACAAAATAAGATCAAATATTTGCAAATTATGTATTTGATAATGGTCTAGGATCCAGGATATATATACAGCTCCTATAAGTCAGCAATAAAAAGACAAACAATTCAAGTAACAAATGGGGAAAGATTTAAATAGCCAGTTCTCCAAAGAAAATACACATGCCCGAAAAGTACAAGAAAAGATGCTCAGCACGGTGGGTGCACCATATGACATTTGCACCAACAACATTTAAGCATTCTTATTTATCCACATTCTCACCAATCGTTATATTTCTTTTTTCTTTTTATTAAAGCCATACTAGTGGGTGTGAAGTGGTACCTCATTATGGTTTTGATTTGCATCTCCTTAAAGACCAATGATTTTGAGAATCTTTTCACAGGCTTGTTTGGCCACTTGTATACTTCTTTAGAGAAATATCTATTTAAATTCTTTGCCCAGGTTTTAATTGTTGTTTGGTTTTTTGCAATTCATCATGAATAATGATGTTGAGCATCTTTTCATGTATTTGTCAGGCATGTGCATATTTTCTTTGGAGAACTGGCTATTTAAGTCCTTCCCCATTTGTTACTTGAATTGTTTGCCTTTTTGTTGCTGAGTTATAGGAGCTGTATATATATCCTGGATCCTAGACCATTATCAAATATATAATTTGCAAATATTTTATCCTATTTTGTAGGCTGTCTTTTCAACTTTTTGATAATGGTTTTTTGATGCAGAAAAGTTTTTAATTTTGATTAAATTCAGTTAATTTATTATTTTCTTTTGTTGTTCTTGCTTTTGGTATCATATCTAAGAATTCATTGCCAGATCAGAGGTCACGAGGAATAATTTCTGTGCTTTCTTCTAAGAGCTTTATAGTTTTAGTTCTTACATTTGGGTAATTGATCCATTTTGAGTTAATTTTTGTATGCGGTATGAGTTAAGGATACAAATTCATTCATCTGTATCTGGACATCCAGGTGTCCCATTGTCATTTGTTTAAAAGACTAGTCTTTCGGGGCACCTGGGTGGCTCAGTTGGTTGAGCATCCAACTTTGGCCTAGGTCATAATCTCACTGGTCCTGAGTTCGAGCCCCACGTGGGGCTCTGTGCTGACAGCTCAGTGCCTGGAGCCTGTTTCAGATGGCTCAGTAGGTTGAGTGTCCAACTTTGGCTCGGTCATGATCTCGTGGTTCGTGGGTTCAAGCCCCATGTTGGGCTCTGTGCTGACAGCTCAGAGACTTGAGCCTGCTTCAGATTCTGTGTCTCCCTCTCTCTCTGCCTCTCCCCCACTTGCACTCTGTCTTTATCTCTCAAAAATAAACATTAAAAAAAAAAAAAGACTAGTCTTTCTTCATTGAATGTTCTTGACATCCTTGTCAAAATCAGCTATCCATAGAAACATGGGTTTATTTCTGGACTCTCACTTCTCACCCATTGATCTCTGTGTTTGTTTTTATGCCAGTACCACAGTGTCTTCATTACTTTTGCTTCACAATGGGTTTTGAAATCAGGAAGTGTGAGCCCTCCAAATTTGTTCTTCTCTTACAAGATTGTTTTGTCTACATCATCTTTGGAAATTCCATATGAACTTTGGAATCACCTTGTCAATTTCTACAAAAATTCAGCTTGGATTCTTATAAGACTTTCATTGAATCTGTGGGTCAATTAAGGGAGAAGTGACATCTTAACAATATTAAGATTCATGAATAAGGTATCTTCTTTAATTTCTTTCAACAGTATTTTGTAGTTTTAGGAGTTATACATTTGCTCTTCTTTTGTTATATTTACTCCTAAGTATTGTATTCTTTTTTTTTTTTTTAATTTTTTTTCAACGTTTATTTATTTTTGGGACAGAGAGAGACAGAGCATGAACGGGGGAGGGGCAGAGAGAGAGGGAGACACAGAATCGGAAACAGGCTCCAGGCTCTGAGCCATCAGCCCAGAGCCTGACGCGGGGCTCGAACTCACGGACCGCGAGATCGTGACCTGGCTGAAGTCGGACGCTTAACCGACTGCGCCACCCAGGCGCCCCAGTATTGTATTCTTTTTGATGCTATTGTAAATGAAATTTTTTAAAATTTCATTTTCAGGATGTTCATTGCAAGTGTATAGATAT